ATAAAAATTATTATTATTATTATTTAGCCACCTGGGAGCAGGGGGGAACAGGAGCTATTTAAAATTAGTTTCTTAATTATTTAAGCATTAGTCCCCTACCTCCCAAATCACAATACCTCTGTCACAGTAAGGAGCAGAACATGAAAATGTGTTTGCTGCCACTGACAATTCCTGAGTCTCCCCTTTGCAGAACTTCAGCCCAAATGTCAGGACAACAACAGCTTGACACATACACACTCCCCAGCAACATACACAGAGCAAGTAGGACATGCCTTAGTGGCCTCAGATAATAAAAAAAAAATCAGGTAAAGAAAAAAACCCCAAACCACCAACCAACAAACTTGGAGAAACCATCCAGAAGAGCCTCAGGAAAGGGAACTATCCACTTTCCATGGAGAAGCAACTACCCAGGAGTCCCTGCCCAGTATGAACTGAATCAAAATATCCATCCCACAGCTGAAGGAGATCTCTGGAACCTGGCAGTGTCACACGCTGGATACCTGAAGGCACATTTGCTTTGTGTTTTGGGAGAGAAATCCAGTTAGAAGAACACACTGCAGCTGCAGGGCTGAGGGAAATGAGGTGACACTCGGTGTATTTCCTCTGTTCCTGTCCCCATTTTCAAACTTCATGGCTGGCATGAGCTGGTGATCTAAGCAGACACATTAACATCCCTGAGTGAAATGGCACCATTTGTGGGTTCTGAGACTTTGTCCTCAAGCACCATGGCCGGTGTGTCTGTAGCAACCGCTGTAGTGTCTATGGCAGGAAGGGGATTCAAGCCCTGCGATAAGATCTGTTGGATGGTTTTCCGCAAATTGGGATGCAGCTGGTTTTGGGTCTGGTAAAAAATTTCTAAGGCAAAAGACTTGAGGGTGCCAGTGCAAAGGTCCTCATAAAGTGGAATTGTGTACATCCGAGACATCTGCAAAAAAGGAAAAATGGATAATATCACTTCAATAGAAGAGGTTCAGCTCTTCTACAGCTATGCTCCAGCAGGCCTGAATGACGTCAGACTGGCAACAGGCAACACATTTCTTCAAATGCAAAGATTTTTATAAAAGATAATTAAAAAAACCCAAAACACTTGCCCTCTGAGACTGAGCTACTTCCACAAATAACAGAACTATTTTCAAAAGGCCAAGAAGAGGCCACAGATAACACATGCATTAACCTTTTGGTCCTGCACACTGCAAACTACTGAAAGGAATTCAGTGAGCCCTAGCCCTGCTTAAAGTGTAAATATTCAATCAATCACATGATTTACTAGTGGGAAAACTTCTGGTCTGGAAAATCCAGGGCTGCTACAAAGCAATAGAAAAAAATGCACCAGGCAGAGCTGGGACAAGGGTATTGAGTTAGGCCAGAAAAGCAGAGATTATCTGTAGGCATTTCAAATTCCATCTGCCCATTCCTCCCCACCCGCTAGCAGGTGAGCCATGCTCAGCCCCTTCGCAACACACCTGGTCTACACTTGGCCAGGAAGCAGAAGTTCCAAGGTCTTTCACGTCGCATGTCTCATGCACATGTCTCATGCACTGAGAGGTGCAGTGATTTTATTCCAGCAGTTAGTACCTGGTTTTCCAAGAAGCGACGGACTTTGTAAAGGTCTGGATAATAGTCATTTCGGACTACAATCTGCAACCAGCGGATACGGATTTCTGCGTTCATGGAGTCCAGCTGAGAGGAGTAACATTCCGAAAGCTTTTTGATCACCTCTGAAGAGAGCACATACACAGAGAAAGAACTATGATCTGTTTTGCCAAGTTTGATGGTGATCAGAGAATAATGAATCATAAAATCACAGAATGGTTTGGGTTGGAAAAGACTTTTGAAGATCATCTGGTTCAACTCCCATGCCATGGACAGGGACATCTTTCACTATATCAGGTCCAGGCAGCCCCAGAAAACTTCTATCCTAGTGCTCTCAAACGAAGACGTTGCTCGAAGCACCACTCAACGTGACGTTACGTGAATGATAAAGGTCAGCAAGGGATAGAGCTCTGTATAACTCAAGTGATTATTCCAGCAATACTTTTCTACTATGGTGACAGAGTACCCACCGTGTGGCAGTGGTGACCCATCCAGCAATCTGTCCAAGAAAAGCACGGTTTGGAACGTTCTCCATTTGGTGAGGTCAGCACTGCTGGCAGCAGCAGCAAAGTCCAGCGGCTCTGTGGACTTTTTCCACTGGTCTGGTCAGACTGGATCCCTGAGATAAGTCTGGCTCAGCTAATGGAGGTCCTGTAGCATTGAGCCAACGTTCAAACTCCAGTCCTGGAATGAGGAGCACCAAGAATGTCAAGTAGGAGTCTCTGCAGGTGGCTTGGCTGCCTCAAGGTTCTGCTTCTAGCACAGTTAAGAGGGGTTCTAACAGTAACAAATCAGACCAGCCTATAGTTACAGCGACTTAAGAGTCTGAGCAGTCTTGCTGGGCTAGCCTATGCTACTGCTGGAAGAGTGCCAGCGACACCTCTTCAAATTTAACCATGAGTTTTCTAGAGCTCAACATTACAGTAAGCACAAGAAACATATGACAGCCAGGCTAACAAGTATTTGCAATCAAACTATGTTATAATATCTTACATTTTTGTATATGCTTTTATCTTTCTCAGAATTTTGAGGAAGACTGAAGAATATGGGGAGAACCTGCTTTAGTTTAAAAAAAAAAAAGGACTAAACTCCTCCTACCCACCAGCAATTATACAATTGTTAACTAAACAAAAATAAAATTTCTCCACAAGTGGCAGAGCTAGCAGAGTCTGGTTTCCAACAGAGCTCTTCTTGACCCCTTACCACTTTCCTAACCCTTGGCAATACTTCCCGTTCCACACCAGCTACCCTAAAATCCCTCTCTCCTGCATCCCCTGAATATTAGCCAGGCACAAGTCAGCACGTGCTGCGGTTGACTCATTAGCCAAACACGGAGCCAAATGAAACACACAACTGCTGAGCTCATGCAGCAGCTTTTCCCACAGGAGGCTCACTCATCTACATCTCTCCACAAAGCCCGTAGGAAGCCTTAAGAGCTGTACTTCACTGCTCATCTCGTTTAAACTGGCCAGTGAGTTCAGCAACTACTGACAAGGATGGACACAAGGCGGGATAATGTTAGTCTCATTTCTTTAAAAAAGTGGGCTAATAAGCACCTAGTAGATTATAGATCTTTCATAAATCCACCAACAGCTATAAATAGGGGATATAAGAGAGAGTGAAACATTAGGGAACAGATTTTATATGCATGGAGAGGACCTCGTGAGAAGTTACAGCTCTCAAAGCATGCTTTCTGTAATTAAAATAGATGAAATTTCAAAGCATGTCCACCTTCTCTTTGCATTCGAACATGTGTACATCTCACATGCATCAGTCATTCTGTCTGCAGTGGGAAAGACGAGTTAATGAGAGAGTTAACTGAGGGCCACTCAGCTAATTAACACCAAAACTGTCAGCAGTTTAAGATGTTCTTATTCCCCAGTATGGAGGTATTAACAATAAATCAGCTCAACCACTTTTATCACGAACATGTGCATGCTGCTAAAGGGTTTTGTTTGCCTTAGCATTTTCTCATGCATCCTCCAAGCCAAGCACAAAATTTATCATCCAGATTTTCTACAGTGTTTACAATTAACTACGTAATTTTCCTACCTGCTTTGCTTTCAACACATTGCTCTTTCAGCTCTGGAAAAAAATTCAGGAAGGAATCCAGAAGATCTTGAGCCACAACGCTGGTAAATTTGTACTTCTCAATGTAGGCCTGAAACAGTAAAAGGGATAAATTATGGTTAGGAGAAAGACAGCTTCCTTTCCATGTACAACTGCTACATGCAATTTAAAAAAAAGTTGGGAGAGTGAGAATAAATATATGGAAGGTTTTAAAAACACATTAATAATAATAAAAATATTCTCCCTCCTCCCTCCAGATGAAGAAAGCACTGTAACAAGAAAAAAAATTGGATAGCTGCAAATACATTGACTGCTGCGTACCAGGGTTTTTTTGGGTACAGATCAAACATATATTAACATACCAAGAGCAAGAAGCTTTCCTTATACTTGACAGTAATGGGAAGTCAGAACACGGCTCGTCACTGTATTATTCATGAACAGATTATAGGCTAAAGTAATACTTGGAGAACTAAGGATAAGAGAAAGATGGAATGGGGGATGGATGAGCAGACGAAAAACGTGCATGTAGCAAAAATGAAAAAGCAAGGATTTGTGGTACTTTTCAAAAAGAAGTCAATAGCTGAGGTAATTTTCTATAGGTTTTACAAAAGTGCTTCAAGGCCTCACAAACTTATCCCAATATAGGAAGCCCAACTCTTAGTCGCCCTGGCTGAAAAAACACAAGCTAATACTTTCTTGTAGTGAATGAAATCACGTCGTTCAAGTCACAGATAATCTATGCTGGAACAGTTCTCTAATTATTTGGAGCACAGAACAAAAGGTAACAAAAACATACGACCACTCTGTATCTGGCACCTCGTTAAGTTCAGAATCTGAGATGAAAGAAAAGCAGGAGCACATTCACATAACAGAAATCTCACAGAAAGAATCAAAGAATCATCTAGGTTGACACACAGGCCCACACCATTCTTCACCTCAGACACATGTGCATTCCACTTTACCCCTAGCAATTAGCCATGGGGACAAAATCTGGGGAAAAAAAAAAGAAGCAAGCAGCTCTAAATCTGCATGCTTTTTCACACTCACTCTTAGGAAGGAGTCAAAGTGTCTTGGGTCACCACAGAGCTGGGACAGGTAGTAAACAAAACAATAGCCTTTCTCATAGGTGAAGAGGTTCATTAAATTACTAGGATTTACACCTAAAAAGAGAAGATAACAATATTACAAGACACTCTAATAAAGACACTACTTTCTAACCCTTTCAAGTACATAGACCCCTCGGAGACCACTGAGTCGAGATGTAGTGACTTAAAAGCAAAACAAGCCTGTTGTCAGTACATTTAATTTACTGCAGCAAATTAAATGGAAGCAATCCAAACACAGGCTGAAAAATAAATTAGTTTTTATTTTAAAAAAAGAAAAGAAAAAAAATCAATCATTGTAAGCTAAGTATTAACTCCCAGTGGAATAAGTCACTTCAAATGAGAAGTCACTGAGAACACATCTGGAATTTGAAGACAAATCCTTTCTTTTTTTCAGTGCCAAACTCAGGGAATGCCCATACCAAAAATTTTTAATGGTATCGATATAAGGTCATAGAATCATGGAATCATAGAATGGCCTAAGCCAGAAGGGACCTTAGAGATCGTTTTAATCCAGCCTCCCTGCCGCCAGGGACACCACCTCTCGACTAGATCAGGCAACACATGGGGACCGAACGGGAATCGAACCCACGACCTTAGTGTTGTTAGCGCTACGCTCAACTGACTGGACTACTTCCTTTCTTGAGACTTCCAACACATGCTCTTCCATTCCATTTGGCTCCAATACCATTTCAACTTGCATTTTATGTTGTTTTAAATATCATTTAGATTGAAGGCTGCTTCACACCTCCAACGACGACCACAGAACTAGAGAACTATCAGTGAAGAAGATACATGATATGCAGATATGCAGCCTCTTCAGGGGAAAATCATGCAGCCTTTGCATAGCTCCCTCAAAAGGAGAGCAAGCACATATGTTTATCTGTACGCTTACGCACACACATGTTGCTCTTACAGGAACACGTGAAGAGAGGAACATTTCATAGCACAGGATTTCATAAGACATTTCCAAATATTCTCATTATGAAGTATTTTACATATTCAGAAGCTCAAAACTATGTAGCTCTCAAGGCAGTTTTTCAGTGAGTCTGTCCTGGTCTTAAATAGAACATACTTACAACGATGAGGTAGCCAACTTAGAAGAAAACTTCAAGGCAAGTTTCCTTATTTATTATTATAGACTGGTTTACAAACCAGTAATTGTTTTTTCCTTCTTTTATAAAGGAAATGCAAAAATTAGCCTTTTTTGGTCTATATTCCAGTATTGACACACAGAAATTTTATGTACACCAGCTTCAGCCAACAGCAATACCTGGCTCCAGTTTAACCTGAAGCTTGCTGACCGGGTTGTCTTCTCCAAGGAGCTTCATCTGTCTGTGGAGAGCGTCGAGGCGAAATGCAGTCTCCAAACATGTGAAGGCAGCTCCTACCCCAGAAAGAAAACTATTAGTTGCAGGAAAATGACTAGCAAAACCTAACATGTCCAGAAACAGCACAAGCACAAAACAAAAGCTACTGAAGGTGTAAAAGACATGATAACGAGAGAGAATCACAGTTGTGGAAAGGCAGAGAAAAGACTTCAGTGCAAAAAAACACTTGCAATTTGTAATGGAAGTCAGAACCTAAACTAGTGCATTCAGGCTGATTATGCAGCAGGCTGAACCAAAAAACAAAGAAGCAGAAAAACTCCACTAAAGTTCACATCCTTGACATTATCTTATCAGTTCTTGCAAGACAAGTAGAGCAGCGCTGGAGTAAGCATGGTATAGGTGATTTTCAAAGCAAAATCAAGTGCTACAAAAAAGTAACATTACTGGTAGAACAGCAGACACACGACTTCATATTCAATGCCGAGGATATTACTCAGCAAATGTCATCTCTTGGGTGAAAATAGAAAAAGACTAGATTTAGGTGGTATATTACAGATCCTGTGGATCTTTTTTAAGCTTTATCTAGCATCCTGTGTTATACAGTTTTCACTTTCTGCTCATTAGGACTTCTTTTACAGCTGTGACAGGGTGTGCTATTCTTTCTCTTCTAACTGCAGTTAGAAGCATTCCATGCTTTCTACTAGCTGTATCACAGTGGCAAGTCAAGAGATCTTTCCTATGGCCTTGCAGATGTAAAAAGCTGCAGAAAATGGATTTTAAAATTCAGAAGAGGCGTAACATCTAGCACTATTAACACTTTAGCTTTCTTTGCTAAGTCTGCAACTTCAACATTGGGGCTTGTTACACAGACACAATCTCAGAGTCGTGATGTACGTAGACAGGAATTTGACTTAAGCAAAATGAGACTGAAGAACCAGGGTATATTTGGAAGACAGAAGAGCCTGTACTGGTAGAGAAAGGGGTGGATATGCTTCACAAGGAAAGGCAAGAACCAGGATAGCTAGCATTAAGGGCAGTCACTTCAAGTGACAGACAGAGAGGACAATTAAGCAAGATCCGAGAGGTGTGGTAGTCAGTGGACTCCAATTTCTGTAAACAATGTCATTACAAAGATGCCTTTTTATTAACAGCAGAAGATACTCCAGAAATTATGTCAGAAATGGCAAGATTCAGGTCAGAAGTTTTAGAAACAAAACAGAATGTAAAAAGAGCTTTCTAAAGAATTGCACAGGGTATTTCTTCGTCTCCTGAACAGCTGCTTTTTGAAACAACCAGTTCTAAACTTCATTCAAGAGAACAAACCAAAATCTGCAAGGATCTTGTCCTATGTCAGAGGGTCAGACTAAGATGGGAGAGAGGACAGGCCAGTATCTGCTCACCCGTTCATATCATTGCCATTGCCTTAAGACAAGTCATAACCACTGAGAAATACTCAACATGATACAGCTTTCGAAGATACAGAATATATATTGTGACATTTTCATACATGCTCAGAGCACT